GACTGAGGAATAATGCCGCGAAGAAGGGAGAGGAAGTTGAGAGGTGCGTTGGCAGAGGAGGAAAATTCCGGGAGAGCGAGCCAAAAGGGGGCGGTCAGGTGAGGGGTGGGTGGTCGGTCACTGGAAGGGGAGCAAGCCGCTAAAGCAGAGGCAAGAGAGTTTTTAACAGCAAGGAGGGCGTCTTGAGCAACAGGGCAAAGGAAAATGTGGGAGAAGTTCTCCGTGTGAGTTGAACAACGGCGGCAAAACCCATCAGGGTAGGCGTTTGGGTACCAAAGGTGAAGTCGAGATTGGGTGGGGAGGGATTCCGTAAAGAGTTGGAGGCGGAATTTGCGACGATGAGAAGCAGGAAGCGTGTCAAACAAGGAGGAAGGGCGAATGCCAGAGTGAAGGACAAGGAACGTGGATTCCCACTGAACAGAAGCAAAAGAGTCACGAAAAGGAGAAGTAAAGGAGTAATTGGAGAGGCTGTTGTGAAGTGTGTGCCTATGGAGGCGTCGGAGTCGGCGACGAAGGTGTCCTAGGACTGCTGTGTTGCCGATAAAGGCAGTGGCGGGTAGAAGTGTTTGCGAGGTAAACGGAATATCAATGGGTGGTGTGGTGGCGTTTAGATGGGAAGCGAGGTGGTCAGCTGCTTCGTTGCCAGCGGAACCGGAGTGTCCACGAATCCAGACAACTGACGGGGGGGGGGGCCGATGCGAGTGGAGAGGGCCTGCCCAACGAGGGCCCACAGGGAGGCCAGAGGAGAGCGGAGAAGGGAGCGGAAGGAAACGGTAAGGGGATCAATGGGAGGAGGGGGGAGGGGTCCAAGGGTGGCAAGGGAAAAGGAAGGGATGGAGTTGGTGGGGTGGGAGAAGAGACGGTTATAGGTAGTGACGACAGAGCTGTTGTCAAGTTGAATGGTGAGGGGGGTTGGAAGATGACAGGTAGAAATCAAGGCAGAGAGGAGACCAACAAGCTCAGCAGTGGCAGAGGAGGAAGCGATGGGGGGAAGGGCAACGGCAAAGGAGAAGGGGGGTTCCAAGGAAACAACAGCAGCAGCCATGAAGCCAGTGTCACGAAGGGACCCGTCGGTATCGAGCGTGAGGGGGAGGGGGGGAATTTGAGGAGCAAAGGTCGGGATAGGGCTTGCGCAGGGAGAAGGAAGTATTGGAATTGGATAAAGGGGGTAATTGAAAGGGTTGGAAAGGCGGCGGCGGGGGGGGATATTGTAGAATTGACGTGAACGGAGGGTGGGGAGGGTCTCAAAGTGGGGGAGAAGAGAAGTGTAAAGGTTACGGAATCTGCGTTTGGCCCTGCTGCGGCCTCGGAATGCTTTGGGTCTGAACGAGGTGGTAAGGAGTTGTTCAAAAAAGAAGATGTGAGAGCGCTGAAGGTCAGGAAGGAGTTGAAGACGCGTGGGCCAAGGTATATCGGAGATGGGGTGAGCGCGAACCCGAAAAAGGGGAGGATGAGAGGAAGTAATAGAGTAATTGTTAGCAAATAAGAGGGGGATAAGAGATGCGGTGAAGTGCTTAGGGGTGGAGGGGAGCGGAAAAGGGTGTGTGAAGAGAGGAGTAGCCTGACAAAATGTCACTTGGAGGCGTTGGTAAAGAATACGGGTGATGGAACCAATCAAGGATGGGTCGTTAAGACGGAGCTGTAAATCAACAAACATATCGGAACAGTATTCGGTGTATAGGTCGGGAACATCGTATAGGAGGTGATGATGTATAATGGAGGAGGGGAAGGAAGAACAAAGGCCAACCAGTTTTTTGAAGGCTCGACGGAGACGAGCAGTTTCATTCAGAAGGAAAGTGCGAGGGAGGATAGCAGTTTTCCAAAGAAAGCGGATGCGAGGAAGTAAGACGTTACGAAGAATGTATGAAGCAAGTTTGTCCCCCATCACCTTCCCCTGGATGGTGGTGAGGACATCAGAAATGGCAGCAGAGATCTGTTTTCGAGCAGAATTCGAACGACCATCGGCAGAGAAGAAATTCCCAAGGTGGCGGAAGGAAACAGAGTCAGGCTGGATGGGGATTGGGGTCTGACCCCACATAATCTGTCGAGGGCTGTTGGGAGGAAGGTTGGCGGCGGAAATGAAGATTTTGCGGGTGTTCGACTCGATGCTGTTGTGGGACTGGTATTCGTGGAGGATGTCGGCCTGGTGTTGTAGATCAAGGTAAGAGCAAGAGAGGGTGTTGGTGTTGTCAACCAGGGCAAAGCCAGAAACTGAGACTGGTCGAGTGGGTGAGAGGAGGGGGGCAGGCATGGATGGGGGGGAATTAACAGAAAAAGTGATGCCGTGGGTGTGTTTGTCAAGCGCGCAAAGAACAGGGTCCCAAAAGATACGCCAGTCGAGAGGTCCTTCTAGCGAGCCTTGTTGTATCATAGTGCCAATAGGGAAGGTGGGGGAGGGACCGAAGGCCGTGATGACAAAGGAGCGGAAACGAGCTTGGGTGTTGACACGCATTCGTACGTAAGATTCGGGCAGTCGTATACGATACCAGGCGGAGAGCAAGCCGGCAACAGGGGCACTGTCGAAGGCTTTCTTGATATCGTTGAGGAGGAGGAAAAGCGGGGAAGAGTTTTCATGGCAGAGATCAAGGGCAGAGCGGACCAAGTGGAGAGGAGGATCGGGTGATGAGCCAGGAAGGGCGGAAAAGTTACGGCCGCGAAGGATCTCGGGGGAAGCGGTGAGGATATGTGAAAGGCGACGAAGGCGGATGCCTTGAACTACTTTTGCTGCGAGTTCACAGAGGCTTATGGGCCGGAGGTTTGTGACATCGCCCCCCCATGTATCTTTCTTTGGTATGGGGAAGATGGCAGTGAGGGTCCAAGAGGAGGGAACGTCAAGGACGAGAAAGGTTCGTTGGACGAGGGAGAGGAAGAGGGAGATTGCATCAGGGCCTGATGAGAGAAGGAGTTCTCAAGAGAGTTGGGAGGGGCCAGGGGCTTTGTTAGGAGCAAGGGATTCAAGGACCGAACGGCATTCTTCAAGAGAAGGGGGGAGCATAATGTGGGAGAAAGTGTGCGGAGGAATGTAAGGCCAGGGGTTCATTTCGTCGTGGAGAGGGGAGGTGGGGGGGAAGGGGTGAAGGTCCCGGGGGCGAAACCAATGTTCCACCTGCTCGCGGCAAAGACGTGGGACGTTGGCGGGGTCGTACTCAATTTCAGGACCCTCTGGGGTCTCCGCCAAGATGTGATCAATGCTGGAGTTAGACCGTTTGCGGTTGAGGATGTTGTTGAGGACGTTGCGGATCCTGCCGGTGGAGAACAAATCCTGGCGACGGTCGATGGCAGTAGCAATGTCAGCACGTTTAAGTGAGGCTGCCGCAGAAAGCTGTGCACGGTAGACTGCTTTGCGAAGTCGTTGCAGGAGAGGGAGGGCGTCGTTGGTGAAGGAAGTAGCCGATGTAATGGAGCTGGTGAAGCGAGCAAAGAGAAGGCACAAATCATCACGAACAGGGGAGGCATTCCACGAGGTGGGTAGGGGAGGAAGAGCGCCAAGAAAGGAGTGTAGAGGGAGGGTACCACGGTGTAGTTGTTTCCAAAGGTCCTCAAGTTTCTTCCGAGCCTCAATGTAAGGGGCGAGGCGTTGGTCAGTCTTTGCTGGAGTTGTGGACAAGCCGGAGCAAGGGAGACAGCGTCGGGCGGCGCTGGCGACGAGCTCATGGAGGGAGGAAGAAATGGTGTCCAGGGATTGGGTGTATAGGAAGGAGCGACCAATGGAGGGATATTCGAAGGGAAGGGAGGGTTGGGTAAGAAAGGTTTGTTCGGCGGGGGTAAGCGTGGAATCCAAGGCGGCGAGGTCAGCTTGGAGAGGTGGGAGAGCGGCTGACACTGCGTTGATAAATTGGCGTTTATGGTCCTCGGAGGCCTGTGAAGGGCAGGGAATGCGTCGCAGAATGGGGGTAAAGGAGAAAGTAGTGTATGGACAGAGGGCAAGGATGATGTAACAGGGAAGGTGGTCGGAGATGTCAGAGAGATGGGGGAAGTCAACGGGTGTAGCAATATGAGCAGAGGCAAGATGGTGGAGAAAAGTGTCGGATAGCCAAATGGCGTCGAGACGAGAGCAATAAGGAGAGTTGGTGGAGGAGTGGGAGTAAACAGAGAGGTTGGGATGAACGGTGCGAAAGGTGTCAGAGAGGCCACAAGCAGAGAGAGTAGGTAGGAAACCACGGCGAGAGGGGGGGATAGGAGCTGCTGTGTTATGGTCGAGAGGAGAAAGGAGTGCATTCCAGTCACCAAACCAATAAGCTGGGTGAGGTTGGGCGGAGTCATGGTTGAGGAGGTTGGTGCACCACTCTTGAAGAGGAGCAGTTTCAGGGGACTGTCGCAAGGCAGGCCAGTAGATAGAACGGAGGAAAAGGCGGCGGCGATGAAATGAAAGGGTGATGGCAAGGCCCCTGCTGGAGTGACGAATGGTGTTGATGACGTGTCGATGGAAGGAGGATGTCAAGATGAAGCCAACGCCAGAGTGTTTTGAGGTGGAGGCGTTGGTGAATATGCCAATGTAGTTATTTGCTGCGTGTTGGCGGACGGCGTGTGTGGCGTGAGCGGCAGTGCAACCGGTTGTGTCTTGTCATAACACGTAGCAGGTTTTGGAGAATTGGGGTATCGATCCCCGTGCCTCTCGCATGCTAAGCGAGCGCTCTACCATTTGAGCTAATTCCCCGCTCCTATGAAATAAAGTTTAAACAAAAACAGAAACTGCAGGAACAGGAAAGTAGACAATCAGGAGAGAGAGAAACTGACAAAAAAAAAAAAAAAAAAAAAAAAACACCAAACAAACAAACCAGTAATGAATAAAAGGTGCCTTAGCTTCCTGTTTGTTTCCCCCCCAAGCTGATTCCACTTTTTGCTGCTTTAGAAAGAGTGCTATTTTCATGAAAAAATTGTGCTGAAAGTCTGACTTACCATCTAGAAAATTGAAACTTTATGTTGGTGCGGTTGTGCTGCATTGCCTTCTTCATCAAGAAGGAAGGCTACAAATGTTCTTACTTTACCATACAAATGCAGCCGTCTTAGCTCATCTGGGAGAGCGTAAGACTGAAGAAGCCACCTTGAATCCCACCAGTTGGCTTGGCCATCTTAAGGCACCTGGTTCAATCCCGGGAGACGGCAGCTGGCTTCAGCATTGCTGTGCCCCATACGCAACACAAAACTGCCTTGATTGCCTGATGCTGCTGGCCCCTGTGCACACCTCCGACGTTGTGTGCATGACATTTGAGAGAACGTGAATTAGAGCCCTCATGAGAGCATCCTTCAGCTTCTACAAATCCTTGAAGCCAAGGATTATCAACAAAAATGGTTCTACTATGTTTATGATTAGCTGGAGTGATTATAAACTATTGGGGGAGCTTCATTCATTTTTGCAAACATGTGAGCAAAAGGGACACCGAGTTAGGGGTGGGATACTTGGCCTGCCAATTCCAACTGACCATTATCCTTCATTTAGCTATCTAAATGCCAAACTGACAGCAAGCACAAGTTACAACAGACAGCATTGGTGGGCAAAGTCTCTTGCTCAAGTCCAGTTTGATTGGCAGGATCCTGATTGTTGCACCTTCATGCTGTTAATCCCCTTGTTATTGGTCCTCTTGAACACTAGCCACCTGCAGAACGTAAGGGGGAGGGGAGTGAAATGAAAAGGCAGAACACACCAACCAAAAAAAAAAAAAAACAGGAAACAAGCAGGAGGCAAATGATGACAGTCTTTCAAAGTTTTGGTGTGGGCATATGGCGAAATGGTTACTGCGATCGACTTCGGATCGAAAGATTGCAGGTTCGAGTCCTGCTATGCTCGTGGACTGCTGGAGATACTTCGATGTCTGCAGTTGCAGCAATAGCACCAGGGTTTTGCAAGCGCCAAGTCAAAAGCAGCTTTAAGTAAGCATGCTTCCAGCCAAGCTCATGCTTGAATTCTGCAGTTGCAGAGGATCTTGCTGTCTTGCTGTTGGGTAGTGTATGGAAAAAGGCTTCAGGTAGGCCCAGTTGCACCACGCTTGTTTGCCTAAAGGGACTTGTGGAGGGTCCTGTTGGCGGAGAGGTTAACGCGGTGCCCTGCTAAGGCATTTCCCTTTGGGAGCGCAGGTTCGAATCCTGCGCAGGACGAAAGTGGGCTGAATGGCAGCCTCGTTACTTCACTTTATTGTAATTTTCATTTATTTGTTTTCAGATTTTGTGAGCCTCTGGGGTTTGGGAGTCAGGGCCAAACTGGGTCCGACGTCTGAATAACAATCTTGCACGTGGGCCAGCTGGCCTTGCCCACTTCTGAGACTTGCTGCAAAAGTTTGAGTGTGGCAAAGTTTCACTGAAGAGATGACAAGTCCAAGTCTGAGACCTTTGGCGCCCTGGGGCACAAGAAAAAAAACAATGCTGTATCGACTTGAGCCATACAGCCAGACAGAAATGTCAGTGGTGGCGTGACGACAATTCTCTGTTTTGCAGAAACACTGGCAGGGGATTTAGTCTAGTGGTATGATTTCTGCTTTGGGTGCAGGAGGTTCCGGGTTCAATCCCCGGAATCCCCCGATATCCCACTGTCTCAGGCATGAAAGGTCCCCAAAGTGCTGGCTGGTCCCATGCATCATTGCCATAGCGGTTTTTGTGGGTCCAGGGGACCAATGTGGACCTGAAAGGTCCAAAGAGCCACGCATTCTGTGAGTTGTTTTTCCCAGGTGCTGGACCCAGCACTGGCGGTAGGGGTGGATGCCATTGGGCTCAAAGTAGCGTCAACCATAACAGAAGCACAGGCATGCCAGCCCAAGCTCTCGTCATCAGAGTCAAACATTTGTGGCCTCTGTCAACAAGGCGGGTCAAGTCGTCAGAACTTGATCGAGTTGACAGATCCTTCGAGGGAGTACATGTAGGCGCAGGTGCAGCTATGGGTGTGGGCTTACGTGTAGCTGTATTGGCAGGCACCTCCCTGGTGCTTGCACAGGCACAGCGTCTGGCACAGCGTCTTGCTGATACCCAGAGTTGCTTCAGGATAAGGCTCGGCAGTTTGGTGAAATTTTACATTGTTTTAAGCACTGTGCTGGCCTTAAACCAGTCGGATAAAGCACCGGTTCAGTCAAACCGCTGAGCCCTTACTTCAGGATGGACCAGGAGCCAGCTGCCACTCATCGGCAATCTGCAGGTATGGGTAAAGCGCTGAGGGTGGCGGCAGTGGGAGTTCAAGTGCAATCCAAGCAGCTACACAACAAAGCTGTTATTTGGTTGTACATTGAGGCTGCTATCGAGAGGTGAAACATACCAAGAAGTTTGTCTCTGTGCCAAGTCCAGGCTTGCGTACACACAGGTAAGGGTTCAGACTGTTGAGGAATTCTTGAGATACCACCTGAAACCTGGCCTAGATAAAGTCTCGCTTTTCCTGTTTTTGTCCTAGTACTGTCCCAGAACCAGCCATCACACAAGGCTTGGTCTTCACACACTGGCCCAAGGGGAATGTTGTTCTTGCCTCTTCAGCTTGATCTGGTGGCTCTGGCCTAAGAGGACTCACCTTCTCCCTCCTTGGTCAACAACGCACTGGCCAGGAAGAACCACCTCAACAAACAAAGAACAATATGATGGCCCTGAGAGAGAGAGTTTTATTGAGGAAAGTAAGATAGAACATAGATAAAGAGAAAGGGAAAGTGGAAGGGGTGGCAGTGTTTATAGCAGTCAAGGAGAAAAAGAAAAGACAATAAGAAAGAAAGAAGGAAAGCAAGAAAATGAAACAACACAAAAGAATTAAAAAAAGGAGAAAAGGAAAGAAAAGAACAATTTGTAAGGCAACAGCCACACATTCAGCCACACCGCTCTCAAATTTGAAGAGCTTTCCTCAAAATTGACGATGGATGAAATTTGAAGCTCTGGGAGGCCACACATCATTGCACAGAAAGGGGATTGAAGAATGGTAAAAGGGAGCGACATCAACCAAAGCAACAAAAAGTAAACAGGAAAGAAAAGGGGTGTGTCCTCTATGCTGTGGCCCAGTCAGCATAAAGAACACAAGGAGCTCTTTTGTGATGCAGAGGACAGGACAAAGGTTTGCTGTTATGCAGGATAAATTATGGGAAAGTTTAAAATTAGAATTTTCATGGTGGTGGCCCTACTATTTGGTAATTGTCAATAATTATCTCAGGGAGTGCTTGTAAAACCCCAGCTAACTACTGACCCATGAGATTAAAAATTTCATAGGCCACCCAAAGCTTTTGGGTTGCATCTACAACTCTAGCAGGCACCAAACACCACTGCCGCAATACGGATCTTCACACTGGCAGCCAGCAACTGGCAAACCACAGGTTTTGTTTGCTGGTTGTATTGCAGTCATTTCTAAGGATCTAAATCAATAGAATATAGTGACATTTGGACCCATATTGGTGTTGTATGGCTTGGTCCAGTGGCTATTTACCTGACTATTTACCTGGCTATCTATATTGATATCAGGTTGTAGATTTGATTTCCTCCAGAACAAATGAAAGTAGACTTGATGCCAAGAATTATCAGAGTATTGCTATTGTCACCTGGGAGAGTCTCTGCAGTTTTTCACATAAGGATTTTTGTGATGTGATCTATGCAATGTTTCTTGGGTATCAGGACATCAATTTCAATCCTTAGTTACTTCCAGCAGCCTCCAATTATTGGAGAACGACCATGCACCTGTAGCAAAATTCAGGACCCCTAATGGCAATGGAGGTAACAGCCAGACCACTCTGGCACTGTTTTAAATGCCCTCCAACGACAACGGCAGGACTCGAACCTGCGCACCCAAAGAGTAACAAATTTCGAGTCTGTCGCCTTAACCGCTCAGCCACGTTGTCCACAGGGACAGCAGAGCACTGTAACTGTATTATCGCTCTATGCTACGCAACTGTTGGCAGAAAGCCCTCACCTGGAGTGAACCTGCAGTGTCATGAGACAGCCAAACAGAAGCCAAGCGTCCTGAGACATCCAACCACAGTCCTAAAGTTAGGTGCAGCTAGTAGCAAGAGGTACAAGACAGACCTGATCCCAGTGTGACTGTCAGTTATCACTCTTGTGAGGACGACAGGCTGTTGAGCCTGCGACCTCAAATAAAAAGAGTATACCCCATTTTTTTTAACTGATAACTTGTGAGGATTATCAATTTGACTTGACCAAACAACGTTTCACAAAAGTGACATAACACAGCTGGACCCCATTTCTTATTATTTTCATGGGTTATTATTGTCCCTGCAAGCCGACCACTGAGATTTGGACTGTCTCTTAGCCGCGGCCATGTATATTATTCATGTTATTATTACGCACTAAGTTGCAGGCCGAATGGTTCAGGCCGCTCTGCACTACTGGCCAGAGTCCCTCTAGCTCAGTGGTGTAGAGCGCTCCCTTCAATGGGAAAGGTGCTAAGTTCGACACATGCTGGCGGTCACTAACTGAATGATGCAGAAATGCTAAGTTCTGCACAATGACTAAGCCTTGCTCCCCTTATTTTGGAAATGGATTAGGATGATGTGCTTCAGTGGGTAGAAGTATAGAGTCCAGGTGTACACAGAGCTAACACAGAGCTGCTGCATAAGCTACCATGATGAAAGGCCTCATGAAAGGGTATGAGATCATAGGGTTTTTTCTCCTTTCTTTATTGATGATTTTTACTTATTTTTCAATTAGTAGTTTATCCTGTTTTTCCTGTTTTTACTGTTTTATCTTTTATTTATTTGTTTGTTGTTGTCTCTGTGTGTGTCTCTTTTCTTTTGTGGCTGTGAGTGACTGTCTTCCTCTTTGCACCAACCAGCTCTCTCCATCTCCTCCATCTTTCTTGGCAGCTGATGCCAAGAAATGCTCCATGATTTTCTGAGCTGTCTTCCTTGTTTGATGGCTCGGCCCCATTGTTTGGTGACTCACTCCTCCTCTTTCTTGTTGGTTGTTTTATTTATTGTTTTGTTCTTTTGTATATGTTTTCCCCTCTTTTCCCTTCCTTCTTCCTTCACCCTGCTGATTCCAACCCTCTCCTATTTAAGCAGCCCACCCCCCATTCTTGTTGCCCCTTAGAACCTGTACCTGAAGTCTTCTTGCCTGCCCTTATTCCTTTTCTGACTGTGTGTATGAGCTGGGGGTGGCAGTCCCCTGGTGTGTGACAGGAGAATTGGTTCTCTTGGCCA